TTTTTTTTTTTTTGACAACTAAACGAACCGCAGTTTCAGATCAAAAATCTTGATGCAGTACAAAAATTTTCTGACCATTTGTTTGACATATTTTTTATTCGCCGTTAGGCAGACCTAGCGTTTACTGTTTTCCTTCACCCTTTTTTTCTTTTTCAGTTTACTTTTTACGGCTAACAAAAACATTTGAAATGACGTGACGGACAATAACTTTGTTTAAAAAATTTGGGGAATTTAGCGAAAATAAAGATCGTTTTTTTTTTTCAGCAAAAAAAAATGGGAAATTAGAAAAGAGTTAACTTGGTGATCATCATTGGTAAGTCCAACATTAAACTGCAATTTTTGGAAGGCTATGGCAGCAATGTTCGGTTGGTAACATGGTTTCAAGATTAATGGACATGTGAAATTGCCCGCTTTGAGTCGATTCTTGCCAATTTGCCTGTTATTGATTTCAGTTTAGGGTGAACAGCGATGTCTGATATGTTCATTTTTGTTGAATTCGATATGTAATAGTAAAGGTCAAATTAATAGTATAAAAATTTGTGGATTAATGATATGAAAGAAAAAAAATTGGATGACATTTTTTTGTTGGAATCGACTTTTGAATCAATTTTTTGCTTTGAATTTCTTTGCATTAGATTGGCTGTAGTTGCCAAATTTGGAAACTGCTTCGATGTTTTTTCCCGATGTTGTTGAGTAAATTAAGCGCATAATTATTAGCTGCTCAATCAGGTTGCTCCAGAAGAATCCTTGTTTTTGACAAGAAGACTATTATCAATTAACCGGCTGTCAACTTCATCTGTAGATTGGTTTTTGGATAAAGATATTTGTTAACGGTGCTGTATTTTTTTTTGTGCTTCAATCTAAAATTGCTTATTTATTTTATTGGATTAATTTTTCATAGCAATAATATTAGCTGTACAAAACTACATATCACCTAGTGTCTTTTAGAAGTGATACTGATTAGTTAGACTAACGGTTGAATAGAACCAGAAGTTACGTGGTATATGATGACGGTTTATTGACTTTTGAAAGATATTTGTCTAAAACTTGATTCCATCTATTTTTCTCGTCTTTTTAATTTTTTTGATTTTTTCAACTTCAGGATTGTAACCATATACTTCTTTTCACAACTGTTTTGACGGAACGAAAAACATTTTTTTAAACATTTTTTTTTTGCATGTATTTGTTTATTCATGTAATATTATTTATTTACTTAACTGCGATCTTAGTCCAGTGCTAAAATGGTGAAAGTTATTTTGTGTATAAGTGCTCATTTTTCAGTAGACTAAAATGCAGAATATTCTTTCTTGTTTTCTTTCTTCTCTTCTCATTTTTATGGTTAATGAAGGAAAAAAAACAAGTATAAAGCAGTATGATTAGGTTTATTTGGGTAAATAATTAAATAGCAATGGTTTTTCTCGAAAAGGAAAAAAATTACTAGCCAGTTGTTCTTGACGTTAAGAGATACTCTAAAAACTGCAAATAAAATTTGTTGTTTCACTTATGTTTTTCGAGGAATTTATTTTTTCCTGAAGTAACTGTTACAGCTAATTTTTGCCAAGATATTCTAAAGATCAAACAAAACATTTAGACAAAGAATATAAGTTTTTCAAAGAATATGCTAAATTATTTTACACAATTTCAAATTGCGAAAAATGGGGAAGTCTTATGATATGTGCAATAGTTAAATGAGTATTGTATATAGGTAGGGTTTTTTCCACAAATTTTGAGATACAGTTTTGCTCAATGGTACAACGGTTCTTACAGTTTTCTACTTATTCTGACGCAGTATACTAAGAAGTAGCGAGAAGTTAATAAAGAATTGTTTTGTTTTTGCTTCTAAATGCACCTGTGTTGTAGATTACTCGTGACCTGGGAAATTTGGCTTTTCAAGCAGTGTTACAGTAAGGAATCTGAATCCAACTTTTCTTCTGTTTGAAGCTATCACTGTTGCATTTCCAATCTTATCATTATGGGTATGATAACTGCACCTAGTTTTACTGCAGCAGAACTTGAAGGGGCGAAAAAAATTCGGTAATTATTATTTATAAGCAGCATATAAAGTTTACTGACGAACTGATGGTTCATATTTTCACTGTATTTAAGTGCTGTGTTACTTTTTCTCTTTTACAGAACTCGGATGAAGAAGTATATTCCAGTTGAATTTGATACAGATTTTTATTTGGCTCGTTGGTGGAGAGCTTATGACGGTGATATACAACAAATCGAGAAACGGATGAAAGAAGTTTTCGAACATCGAAAATTGTTAGGGTACGATTGTATAGATAGGGAAAACCTGGAATATAAACTTGAAATCCCTCGAAGGACTTTTGAAGTAACTTATGCAAATTTTTCTTCCGCTCAGTTGTAATCAGTTATAAAATCTAGTAATACACTTATTGTACTTATTTAAAAATGTTTTGAGGAAAATTAATAGGCATAAAAACATATCGTTTTAAAAATTATTTTTCCATTTTTTTTTTTTTTTGCAGGATAATTATTAATAGCGATAGAGTAATCGTCCACAATAAAAGTGAACGTGTACTCCGTTTTGAAAAAAAAACAGTTTGAAGATTTACAGATAACTTTGTTGCCAAGAAAATGCGGTCAAGAAAAGTGTGAGAATTGCAGAAAAAAATTGAGATCAAAATTTTTTATCAAACGAAATTCAATATGTATGAAGTCAGTTATGTCAAACTGTGACACGTAGACTACGATCTTTTAAAAACTTACAATTAGCAGACAGTTTTTTAAGACATCCTTGTTTTGTCTGTAGAAGTTAACAATCTTCAATAAATGACAATACCTTCTGCAAAGAACAGCCCAGTCAAAGACTGTTGACTGTTACCTAATAATGAAATATCTAAGGGAGCAGTCATTTTACTTCTCAAAAAAATTTAAGCCATAAATGAATCAAGTGGTAATCTCACTACGGTATAATTAAGTTCTCATCAGGCTCTCTTTACCAATTATCAGTTCAACAACCTCACTGTTAACCGTGTCCCTTCTGGGGATCAGTTTACGTTTTCGTATTATAACAAAAACTTATATTACAATGTCAAATAGGAGTAATAGTCATTGGCATTTTAAAGTTAGAAATTGAAAAATTGCTGATAAGGAAGCGAAAAGATAGGTTGGAGGCTAATTACTGTGCAAAATTGTCCTACCTTTGCTATATTATAAACAAATTATACGAGTTCTAATTCAATTGGTTCTAAAAACTGTAATTCATGATCATTACTTATCAGTAGGATCTTCGAAGTAAAAATATTTTCAGCAGTTTTCAACCTCTCCCGTTGCCTATGGTCGCTGTTCGGGGAATCTTTGTATTTTTGTGCAAAAAATGAGTGGAGTCGATTTTAAAGAGGTACTCTTTTGTTGAATGTTGAATGTTCTGACTTTACATTACCGGTTATAGAACCTAGCAACAGTAAAGCAACAATGAAAAGTATAGCAAACAATGAAAAGTTCTTTTTTTTTTCAAAGGACAAAACTTTGTTATGAGTACGGACCGAACAATTACGATAATTGTAGAAGAAAGTCCCGTTTCAGATCTTAAAAACGATACCTCTCAGCTACGTACTACATTCTTATTTTATATTACAAGAATCTCTGAGCCGAGCAATAATTGCCAAAGAAGCTGAAACAGGAGCTCCTTCAGGTGGTGTTACAATTTTGGATCTCGAAGGACTCGCTCTTTCTGACTTTATTAATCCGATGAGTGGCCCAACAAAATTGGCCAGACTAGTTGTCAAAATATGGGCTGACTACTTTAAGGAAGGAGTAGGTTATATAAATCCATACTTTACTCCATTAAATCCTGAACATTCAATAATTTTGTGGCATCGTTTGAAAATCCTCTCTCAAAATTTTTAAAAGATGGTACTTAAGCATTATTCATTTTTCCCAACCGAGACGAATAAAATCGTTGGAAGGTGATTAACAATCAAATTTTGTTCGCCAAGCG